AAGTCGAGGGAGCCCTGCTATATATGAATGTACCAAGTGAATAAGTTGAGTAGGACCATGCCGTACTTGACCACCACATTGAGTATCATGGAGGAGGTGATGAAGGTAAGTCGCCAGCTGCCTCCTGATGAACTTATGCCAAAGTTTGGAAATAATCGGGTTGAGCAGGATCGAACGAAAGAAGGAAAGATCGTGGTCAGGACCCACACCTTTATGGAGAGGGTGTACGATGCCGTGCTTCCACGCGTAGGGCTCCTGCTGGTGGAGGGCGCACTTTACCAGGATCGGATGGTAGATGCGTGCGAGTGTCCTAGGTGCAGCAAGGAGAAGCTCAGGAAGTATACCATCCCGACCTGGTGCTTTCCGACGCTTGAGAGTAGTAAAAAGCTCTGATACCTGACCAATACTCGGGACAAGATCTGGCTTCAGCTCGACCTGGGTAGGGTTGTGGTTGAGCTTGGAGTTGTAGTAAGTAATGAGCTCCGTATTCGTCATGAGCTCGGCATCTTCTGTGGTGGCGAAGTGCTCGATGATGATACGGCTTTCGTCCTCGTCCGTCATGGCAGGTCGGCCTTCGGAGTCCACCAGCATAAGGTTGCGCTCCTTGCGTCCCTTGCGCCCACCATAGCGTAGAATGGTCTTCAGCGTACGCCATTCGGCCAGGTGGTCTCCCGCTTCAGCATGCTGACGCATCTGAAGTCCGAGCCGTTCCAAGAAAGCACGACGATCTTCTCGAACACACTCGCGAACTATACGCTTGGTGTTGCTGAGGAAGAGAGAGAGCTCATCTACGAAGTCGGTCGTGGCAAGATCATGACAAGACATAGCCTCCACGGCCAGACGTAGGCGTTGGAGCTGGGGTTCCCAGGGGACATCCGTCAATAGCAAGATACCATCGGCCCTATGTGCCAGAAGATCAGTCCAAGGAGGTCGCCGTTCGTTGTGACATGGAAGCCATCGCCTCGCACGAGCAACATACCTGCGAAGCCGAACAAGGTACATCGTAGTGGCCGAGACGTACCCCTTGATAGAAGTGACGCGGTCCATGCCAAAGCACGCTCTGGCTGCATTCAGGACAACGGAGTCAGCTAGTTGCTGATGCAAGTTCACGTCCATGCACCAGGAAGGGATCTCAAGAGCGTCTAAGATCCCAACGTACTTCGCTATCAACTGGGGGTCTTGCATCTTGCCGCGGTCGAGCTTGGTACCAGGGCTATTGGGCTTGGGTTTCATCACCTCCCATGCCAGGTCAAGCACCACGGGATAATGGTCGTCGGCGGCAGCGTAGGAGTCGAAAGCATAATCGACAAGGAATCGCGAAGTATGTCCGTGATGATCTCGTGATAGCATAATGTAGTCCAGTCGACGAGGTCCATCCTTACCGACAAAGGTGTGGCCTGCTTCGTGCGGGTTGAAAGTGTTCTCGATATACAGTCCCGTGTCGGTGGCGAACTGCAGGCATGCGCGGGCAGCTTCATCTGCGGCCGTAGGCGCACAGGCAGGGTGCTCATGGCCAACTACGATGTCCTCCAAAGTCTCGGAGTAGACGGTATGGTTGGGGATGTTCGCATTGCAGTCCCCAAGCAAAATGGTAGGAGGCCACTTCTCAGCAAGACCGCTAAGGTCTCGCCACCAGCTAGCAAGTTGAATTTCCCTATGGCCTTTGTAGGGGGCATGTACAACATAAACCATCTCGTAGATACAGCAAGTCTCGATCTTTACGACAAGGATGCGAGAACATCGATAAAGGACACGGATATCCCCACGTCTAAAGTACTTGGGTCCTCTAGGTCCTGTAGCGTAGGCCTTGGTCATGTTGATGAGAAGGCTGACTCCCAGCTGGTGCTCAGGCTGCCCTCCGCCTACGATAAGAAATCCATCTCTGAGGACCCCATCTTCGACAATCGGTGTCTCCTGACACCCAATTAAATGCGCCCCCATGTCCTGCAGCTGCAGGCGGAGAGCACGTGGACGGAAAGTTCGCGTCTGGCTTGTAGAATGTCGCGGCACAGGTGCCTCCATTGCGATGTTAGCCTTCTGAAGATTGACCGAGATCAGCGACAAAGAAATAGAGTACTTGGCGGTCATACGGGGCTGCGCCGCCAGAGGAGCAGGGTGCAGGCACTTTTGAAGTCGCCATTCACAATGTAAGCCATGTTGATCAACAAGAGGGTAGGCATGGGCGTCTCGATGGAGGTGGTCGCGGTAGCTGGCCCAATACCATGCAGAAGATTTCGTAAGCTTCACGATGAGATTCTCGGGAAGCGAGGGACCACGCCGATGTCGCATATTCTTGGCAATAACGTCGCAGCACTCGTTCCATGGGTCTCCTTCGTGACCATGTGTATGAGCAATGGTGATGTCGCGGTGGTTCTTGAGGAAGTCGTAGAGGTGGCAGGCGATCGGCACAAAGGGATCCGATGACCCGCACCTCCGAGTGACAGCGTCGATAGCAGGTAAGCAGTCGCAGATGATCTCCAGCTGGATGTGCTCGTCCACCTGCAAGCAGAACAGTAGGGCCCATACCAATCCTGCATTCTCGGTGGAGACGCTGGTGATGTAGTCGAGACATTCGAAGTTGAACGCGTCCTCGACTAGACTGGCGAAGAAACCCTCGAAGGAAATCCCTTCGCCGTCGTCAGCCAAGACCACACAGGCAAAGGCTGAAAGATGCCGATCGTCAGGCCAGTAGCTGCCGTCGGTGTAGATCACCATCCGCTTGGTACGTCCACGCAGAGGTGCAACAAGGCGCAGGGCTGCTTGAGTGTGCTCATGAAGAGAAACTGCAGCCAAATCTCGGCGAAGCCGGATATACCATGGGTTGTACTGGTACTCTAGGCTAAGCGGAACAGGAACTTCAAATGGACAGTGTAGGAGGCCCTGATGTACACTTGTCGAAGGAGAAGAGTCGTCTCGAAGAAGACTTCACTTAGTGCTTGGCCGCCAGCGAGGTCATACCGTCGACCAGGCTGCTCTGGGCAAGAGGCAGAGGGGCTACTCACTATGTTCACCACCATGCCCACAGGAGATGATAACGGTACAGGAGCCGCACGTTCCGATGAAGGCCTGTGCAGGTCATGTTGCAGCCGCGAGGGCCGAAGAGCCTGAGGGACCCTGTCGCCTTTGTCAGAGTCCTTGTTGGCTGGGTTGCACTCGGGGTGGAAGACCGAGTCGCTGCCTCTAGGGATGGAGACCGCAGAATCACGCCCACGAACTGTTCGACATTCGATGACTTCACAAGGCTCCATCATCTCTGGGACAACAGTCAACGTGTCGGAATCGCTGATCGCCACGGGCACCTCCAAGCTATGCAAGGGGGATACGTAGATAGGCGCGCTGCCAGTCGCCGAGGGACCAGGTAGCGCGAATGTAGGGGAACATGGAGACATCGAAGATGGATGATGTCCGTGTTCAAGTTGTTGGGCGGAGACTAGCAGGTCGTCTTTATCCGCCACCATGCGGCAAGGCTCCTGGTCGGGCTCGGGCGAGCTGAGATCAGGAAGTACTGTAGCTTGTGCACGATTTCCCAAGGTTCGCGTAGGCAAGAGGGGTTCCACCTCATCTCCACCATCTCCTCCTCCCCGAAGCCGTAGCACCTCAAGATTCTCGTCACGGCAAGGTGAAACCTCAGATCCTCCATAGTTGGGATGCTCCCGTGGATCATGATATGCTCTTATGTGGCTGATGTAGTTCTCGTCCAGGAATGTAGCCAGCATAGACCTGGACGGCGCCTCAGCGCTCTGCTCAATCATGTCGGGCCCCTCCGTCAGGAGGGGCCCAGTCCCCTACAGCAGTGGGGAGTGAGCCACGCGCTGCGGTACGCCTGGTGCGTGCACTGGGGGAAGAGATCATACTCGGAGGCGCACGCTGGTATTTCCTCGCGGGGCCAGGAGGCTCAGTGTCACCGCCTGTGTCTGAGCTGAGCCCTGTTCCTGGAAGGCCTGGAGGATCAGCATCATCTGGTACTGCCTGATGTTCGCCAGCAAGATCAGAGTCTGAGTCATTAATCACCATTGTACCGGAATTCTCTGATCTAGTAGCGGCAGGAGCAATATGAACCGGATGATGTTCACCCGTATCAACTGGGACTGCACCTTGGTCCTGGGCATCTGCAGCACCCGCTTCCATCAGATGAGATCCAGGGTGCCTATCAGGATGAATGATCTGTACCATACGCCTTTGAGCTCTCTCCAGTTCCTCGAAAGAGTCACTCGCCAGGTCACCACCAAGTTCACGACGTAGACGGTCGTGACTGTCAGCTTCAGGTGTTGCAGTGCCCTCGACCTCCGTCTGCACATTTTCAAGCAGGGTGAGCTCCTCCACAACATCGGCCTCGAGCAATGCCTGTTGGCTAGGGGGCAGAATGAGCTGACTGGGTAACGGTTCACGCAAACGCTCAGCTTCTTCGGCATCGTCATGTATGGGGACCAAGGCTGTCTTGTCACCAGTCAATTCAGCAAAGCTTGGGTTAGGAGGGGAATTCTGGACAAAATCGTTGAGGGGTGCGATGCCCTTTTCCTGCCTGCCAATCATGCCCAAGATATTGCTGAAGTTAGGTGGTGCTCCAAGAGATGCAAGAGAGCTCGTGAGGGTAGGCGCCCAGTTAGCTGTCGATGAAGATGAAGTCGAAAGCGAGGAAGCTGGTGCCGTAGTCATTGCCTGCGGTACCGCGTAGGTAGGAGTCCGTAGAGCAAAGCCGTCGTCTTCATGTACAGGACCCTCTTTGTGCGGTGCAGCAGGCGTGGTAGATGGTGCAGGGTCATTTGCATTGTGCTCTTCGAGAAGGTCGGAGCTCCTCATGTCGGCAAGGTAAGCAGCTCCGTCAAGCTCATGATATGGGTCCTCCAAAGTGTCTTCTGCTCCAAGATCACCAAATTGTTGAAGTTCTGCAAGCTCCGAGTGAATACGAGCATCGAGTGCTTCCGCAATCATAGAAGCCTGACGGGCTGCCTCGACTTTTTCCTCGCGAACATCATGAAGCCCCTTGCGGAGAGCCGCACTTTCAAAAGCTTGGATGCGTTCACTGGCTTGTAGATGTTCACGAAGCTGCTGCACTTCCAGTTGCTGACAACGTAGGAGCTCAGTGTCCTGGTCACGGGCCTCCACAAACTGCCTCCGCATCGTCTCGTAAGCTTGTTCATGCTGATAATGATGTTGGTGCTCCATAATGATCTTGAGCTGTTGCATCTCCGCATCCTGTGCCTTGAGCGCCTCCCAGTACTCCCGCTGGTTGCGCCTGGTGGACTCAGCCTGCTCCATCATGACATGAGTCTCAGAAATCTCCTGCTGGTAGGTGAGGGTCTTGTCATGCTCCCTGCGCTGCGCGTCGTAGGCTAACTTCTCGGCAAGGTGTAGCTGGTGACGTTGGTGGTGCTCGAACTGCTTGTAAGACTCCTCCCTGATCTTATGTTGACGAAGCTCGGCCTGTTGGAATGTGTACTCCTCCACCAACTGGTTGCGTTCAGCAATGGTACGTTCCATTTCAGCCTGTTGTGCGATGTTGGCTTCCTGGGGTCGTAGGTCAACGGCTGCCGAGCTAGCGGATTGAGCTTGGCCAGTAGGTGGCGCTGAATGAACATGGCGATCGTCGCGTTCACGGACTTCCTTCTTGATCTGCTGGATGGCACGGCCCTGCATCGTCATCTGTTCCTCAAGCCATTTACGCATCAAGGTGATCTCGCTGGTCTCCGTGATGGCCTGGGGAGAACGCGCTGGAGGTGTGGCAACTGGTGTCCTCAAAATCTTCGAGGGCGTCCTCAGGGGCGCAGGTGAAGGCGGAGATGCAGTAGCAGACTTTGATAAGTCCATGCGGCTAGGGTTCGCAGCCGTGGGGCGTTGAGCAGCCTGAAGGTCCTCGGTGGTAGGGGCCTGGGCGACAGGAGGAGGTGAACGAGGCTGGACAGGGACCGAATTAGTGATGCCACGTATATGTCTGCCATCAACAACTGGAACATTGGGAGCCGAAGATGTCGGTGGTCGATGATCACGCTGAAGTCCAGGCTGAAGGGGAAGACCAATTACTCGCTCCGAATGTTGAACAGATGGGGGATCTCGCGCGATGGAGACCGAAAGAGCCTTCCTTCGGTCATGTCCATACTCGTCGGAGCTAGGCGACTCGGGCGGCAAGTTGCGAGCCTCTGTGAGCAAATCCGTCCAGTACCTCACGTTCGACTCCTGCAACAAGATCTCTAACTCGAGGTTCCGCTGTTGACGCCGTACTGCTTCCAGCTTCCCATTTGCTTTGCTGATCCCGTCGAGGGCTTCCTTCTCACGGACAGCCTGAGGCTTCGCAGTCCAAGCCATGAACTTGAGAACGGCCAACTCCTTCTCCTGATGTGACGAGTCGAGCTGCGAAACTCGTGCTCGGGCGATAAACTCGGCGAGCACCTTCATCTTGGAAGCCACGTCCTCGCGGTAGCGAGAAAGACCTTCCCGAGCTGAAGGAGGGCCGCGGTAGTAGGGCGATGCCAATGCGTAAGCCGTAGTACACATGGTAGCCGACGTGATGATCTCCTTGGCTTCCGCACGAAAATCATGAACAACTTCGTCTGCACGACGCCGACCTTGATCACGATGGCTTCCCTGGTCGCGACCACCCTGTTCACGAACCTGTCCTCTGGGCTCTCGTTGATCACGACCGTGCCCTCCTTGGTCACGACCACCTTGGTCACGAGCGTGCCCTCCGTGATCACGAGCATGGCCACCTCCACGAGGCTGACCTGCACCGCGTTGAGCCATCCCGAACAGCGCCAGGGATCCGACTGGTGGTGACCCCGCACTGTGGTGCAGGTCCAAGATGCTGCGCGCCTTGAGGACGCGAAGCAGGGTCCTCGCCGCTCCCCGCTGACGCCGCAGGCGCCGATGCCAAGCTGGGGACCGCGCCCGCTTGGCCGTGCTCGCCCCTGGTGGCACGCCGCCAGGACGACGAGCAGCGGGCCAGGCTCAGCCGACCTGCGGCCGCGGGCGATGGCCCCGCTCGCCCGAGCCCCGCGCGCGCGGTGCCCCCTCTGGGCGGGCGCGGCTCGGGCCCAGGCTCTCCTCCTCCTCCTCCTCCTCCTCCTCCTCCTCCTCCTCCTCCTCCTCCTCCTCCTCCTCCTCCTCCTCCTCCTACTCCTCCTCCTCCTCCTCCTCTCTCCTCCTCCTCCCTCTCCTCCCTGGGCCATGGGACCATCCTGGACCATCCTGGAAACTGGGCCCTGGGCCCAACATGTTGCTCTCCATGGCGCCTCCTGACGGCTGCTGGGACATCCTTCTGCTCTCCTTGAAGCCTCCCCCTCCGCCCTGGGGCAGTCTGGGAGAGCGCTCGGGCTAAACCCTGGCCTCTCGCGAGCCGTGTCCACGGCTCCAGCCAGCGAGGGCCAAGAGCAGGCCCCCCGGTGAGCGCGAGAGCGTCTTGAGGCGGGGACGGGGACGGGCACGGGGGAAGGCGAGGGGCAAGGGGCGAGGGGGGACGGAAAGGCAGGAGAAGCGGCGGCGGGAAAAAAGGGCGAGCGAGGGCGAGCACCGGGGTATCCCAGCAAGTCCCCCTCCTCCTCCTCCTCCTCCTCCTCCTCCTCCTCCTCCTCCCATCCTCCTCCTCCTCTCCTCCTCCTCATCCTCCTCCTCCTCCTCCTCCCGCCTCCTCCTCCTCCTCCTCCTCCTCCTCCTCCTCCTCCTCCTCCTTCCCCCTCCTACTCCGCCACAACCTCCTCCTTCGCCCCCCCCCTCTCCTCCTCCTCTCCTCCTCCTCTCCTCCTCCTCCTTCCTCCTCCTACTCCTCCTCCTTCGCCCCCCACTCTCCTCTCCTCCTCCTCCTCCTCATCCTCCTCCTCCTCCTCCTCCTCCTCCTCCTCCTCCTCCTCCTGCTCTTCCGCTCCTCCTCCTCCTCCTCCTCCTCCTCCTCCTCCCATATGTCATCCTCATGTTACCCTCGTTCTCCTCCTCATCATCATCCTCCCTTCTCCGCAATGTGTGCTCCCTCCCCTCCTCCTCCTCCTCCTGCTCTCCTCCTCCTCCTCGTCCTCTCCTCCTCCTCCTCCTCATCCTCCTCAACCGCCATGCTTCACCATCTCAATGCTTAATTATCAGATGTATCCTCCTCCTCCTCCTCCTCCTCCTCCTCCTCCTCTTCATCTTCCTCATCTTCCTCCTGCTCCTCCTCATCATCATCACCATCACCACCATCATCACCAGTATCGCAACCACAATCATCGTGTTCACGATCATCATCATTTCACCGACATTACCACCACCATCATAATCAATTCCAGCATAATCGTCCTCATCCTCATATCATATTCACCTTCTTCTTCTTCTTCTTCTTCTTCATCATCATCATCAGTATCAGCATCATCAGCATCATCAGCATCATCAGCATCAGCATCAGTAGCATCAGCATAAGCGTCACCATCATCAGCAGCAGCAGCATCAGCATCAGCATCAGCATCATCATCATCAGCAGCATCATCAGCATCGTCATCCTTATCATAATCATCATCATCATCATCATCATCATCATCATCATCAGCATCATCATCATCAGCAGCAGCAACATCAGCATCATCATCGTCATCGACATCAGCATCAACATCATCATCATCAATTTCATCACCAGCAGTGCCATCATCAACATCAGCATCATCAGCAGCCGCACCATCGCATGCATCATCAGCATCGCCATCATCGTCGTACTCATCGACATCGGCATCAGCATCAGCATCACCATCAGCATCATCATAATCAGCGGCACCAGCATCAGCAGCAGCAGCATCATCGTCATCATCATCAGCATCAGAAGAATCAGCATCATCCTCAACAGCATCACCATCGTCAGCATCATCATAACCATCAACATCGGCATCGACAGATGCATCGTCATCATCATCAGCAGCAGCATCATCATCGTGACAGTCATCGGCATCAGCATCGACAGCATCAGCATCAGCATCAGCATCGTCATCATCATCATCATCATCATCATCATCATCATCATCATCATCATCATCCTTATCGTCGTCATCGTCATCATCATCGTGGTCACCATCATCAGCATCATCATCGTCAGCAGCATCATCATCACCATCAGCATCATCACCATCATCGTCAGCATCATCATCGGCATCATCATCATCATCATCATCATCATCATCATCAGCATCATCATCATCATCATCAGTATCAGCATCATCAGCACCATCAGCATCATCAGCAGTAGCATCAGCATAAGCGTCACCATCATCAGCAGCAGCATCAGCATCAGCATCAGCATCAGCATCATCATCATCATCATCAGCAGCAACATCATCATCATCGACATCAGCATCAACATCATCATCACTTTCATCACCAGCAGTGCCATCATCAACATCAGCATCATCAGCAGCCGCACCATCGCATGCATCATCAGCATCGCCATCATCGTCGTACTCATCGACATCGGCATCAGCATCAGCATCAGCATCACCATCAGCATCATCATAATCAGCGGCACCAGCATCAGCAGCAGCATCATCATCGTCATCATCATCATCATCAGCATCAGCATAATCAGCATCATCCTCAACAGCATCACCATCGTCAGCATCATCAGAATCATCAACATCGGCACCGACAGATGCATCATCGTCATCATCATCAGCAGCAGCATCATCATCGTGACAGTCATCGGCATCATCATCGACAGCATCAGCATCAGCATCAGCATCAGCATCAGCATCAGCATCAGCATCAGCATCAGCATCAGCATCAGCAGCAGCATCATCATCATCAGCATCATCATCGTCGTCATCGTCATCATCATCGTGGTCACCATCATCAGCATCATCATCGTCAGCAGCATCATCACCATCAGCATCATCACCATCGTCATCAGCATCATCATCGACATCATCATCAGCATCAGCAGCATCAGCATCAGCGTCATCAGCATCAAAGGCGCATCATCAGTATCATCGTCGTCATCATCATAAGCATCATCAGCAGCATCCTCATCGCCGTTATCATCGTCATCGTCGTCATCATCATTAGCATCATCACCATCATCAGCATCAGCGTCATCATCACCATCATCGCCACCATCATCAATATCGTCGTCGTCACCGTCATCATGTGCCCTCGTCCGTAACACCGTACCCCTCCTCTTCCATCCACATCCTCCTTCTTCTCCTTCTCCTCCTCCTAGTCCTTCTCCACCTCCTCCGCCTGCTCCTCCTCCTCCTCCTCCTACTCCTCCTCCTCCTCCTCCTCCTCCTCCTCCTTCTCCGTAACATCGTACCCCTCCTCGTCCTCCACCTCCTCCCTCTTCTTCTTCTCCTCCTCCTAGTCCTTCTCCACCTGCTCCGCCTGCTCCTCCTCCTCCTACTCCTCCTTCTCCTCCTCCTCCTCCTCCTCCTCTTCCCTCTCTGCAGCAGCAGCGGCAACAGCAGCAGCAGCAGCACCTCCTCTAAGCAGAGGCCCCGCAGCCCCACGAAGTCCGTGCGGCGCGAGCTCTCGGCGCTCGGCCGCTTGCGGGCGGCCGCCGCACCGCCACGGCCACCGTCCTCGCGAGCAGCGGCGATGCACTCCAGAATACATCAGGGGAGCCTCTCCTACATAGCATTCCTTCTCCTCCTCCTCCTCATCATCATCATCAGCATCATCATCAGCATCATCAGCATCATCAGCAGCAGCATCATCATCCTCATCATCCTCCTCCTCCCATCTTCCTCCTCCCACACCTTCCTCCTCGTCCTCCTCCTCATCTTCCTCTTCTTCCTCCTCTTCCTCCTCCTCATCCTCCTCCTCCGTCTCCTCCTCCTCCTTCTCCTCCTCCTCCGCCTCCTCTTCTTCCTCTTCTTCCTCCTGCTCCTCCTCCTCCTCGTCCTCCTCCTCCTCCTCCCCCTCCTCCTGTTCCATCCTTTTTCTCCTCCATCCCCCTTCTTCTCCCATCCCTTTTCCTGATGGATCCGCCACCGTGCCACGAGGCAAAAAGCAGAATGTTCCTGGGTCCTTCCTATACAGCTATCTGTATTGAATCTTGCAGGTGCCCACAGCCCAGAGTCAAGAGGGCCGTTCGGAGCGCTCGTGGGCGCTCTCAGGGTTTCCCGCGCGTCCCGGCGTGACTTTTCCGGAAACGACACGGCTTCCAGATTCGTGCCGCCTGCCCCTCCCTCTTCGCATCCCCCCAACCCTGCCCTCTCGCGCCTCCCCATGCACACAGACACCATTCCCTCCTCTGCCACGCCCCCCGCCCGGCTGCCACCACGGCACCGCACCCATCAAAGACCGGGCACCTACACGGAAAAGGCTCGTCTTCTGACCGCGCCTCTGGCCGCTGACAGCCGCCGCCAGCCTCGCAGTTGCCGCCGCCGCCGCCGCCGACCGCGAGGTCCACCCCACCCAGCGAACAAAAACTCGGCTAACGGCCGCCTGACGGGCACTCCCTCGCCATTCATCCCTCTTTCTCGTGCCCGCCATCCTCGGCCAGGTCCGCGGGCTCCGCCAGCTGTCGCACGGGCACCAATGCGAGCTCCTCCTCCTCCTGTGGAGAACGGCCGCCCTCCTCCGCCCCACACCCTGCTCCACTCCGCCTTTTCCTCCTCCTCCTCCTCCTCCTCCTCCTCCTCCTCCTCATCATCATCATCATCATCATCATCATCATCATCATCATCATCATCATCATCATCATCATCATCATCATCATCATCATCATCATCATCATCCATCATCATCATCACCATCCTCCTCATCCTCCTCTTCCTCTCCTACTCCTCCTCCTCCTCCTTCTCCTCCTCCTCTTCCACCTCCTCCTCCTGCCCTGCTCCTCTCCTCCTCCCTCCTTCCTCCTCCTCCTCCTCCTCCACCTCCTCCTCCCCCCGACTCCTCTTCTCACCTCCTCCTCCTCCTCCTCCTCTCCTCCTCCACCTCCTCCTCCTCCTCCTCATCATCATCATCATCATCATCAGCAGCAGCATCATCAGCATCATCATCATCAGCATCATCATCATAATCATCATCACCACCATCATCAGCAGCACCATCACCATCACCATCACCATCATCATCAGCATCACCATCATCATCATCATCATCATCATCATCATCATCATCAGCAGCAGCAGCAGCAGCAGCAGCAGCATAATCATCATCAGCATCACCATCATCATCAACATCATCGTCATCATCATCATCATCATTACCACCACCATCACCATAACCATAACCCTTACCATCATCATCACCACCATTATCACCACCATCATCACCATCACCATCACCACAATTAACCGTTATCACCGTCATCTTCAGCAGCATCATCAGCATGTGTAGCCGTGCTGACTCGAGGGACTCCACGGCACCGGGGGCGGCTTCCGCGCTGCCCGACGCCGACCCCGAGCACGAGCCCGGGCCCGAGCACGAGCCAGAGCCGGAGCCCCAGAGCGCGGCCGTGGCGCAGGAGGCCGCCGCGAAAACGACCGCGCCGTCGCCTGCGGCGCATCCCCTCGGGTGTTGCTTGCAGTGCCCCTGGCCCAAGGTGCCCCTAGCTCTTCGCTCAATGTTGGAGCCCCTGGGGCTCTCTGGGCCTAGTGAGGGGTGCTCTGGAGGCCGTCTGGGCCACCCCGAAAAAATCCTGGGGGTACCTTGGGCCAGGGGCACTTCTGGCAACACCCGATCCCTGGGGACCGCGCGGGGAGGCACGATCGGTCAGCATGGGACTGGGAGGTCGCACTGCGCCGGGACGTGCGCGGGATCGGGCCGCACAGGCTGGCAGGGGGGCGGAGTCGAGTCGGACCGGCCACCCTCTGGCCGCGTCGGATCTACGGGAAAGTCGAGGTCGAATCGGAGGGGGCAGGCCAGAATCGGACCGATCGGGTCGGAACGGACCCTGCTGGTGAGGGTGATGGCGCATCCTCTTGCTCGCCATCGCCGTGTGCTTCGATTCCTGGGCCTCGCGCCTTTCCCCACCGTCTCCGGCGCCCTGCCCTGCCTCGCCGGCGCCCTGGCTGCCGGATGCGAGCGTAGAACAAGGAAGCAGGGCACAAGCAGAAGCTTTCGGAGCTCCGCGACCTCCAAAAGTTTGTGCTTATACCATTGTCTCTTCTTCGATCGGTAGACTTAGGTCGGGCACGTAAACGCCCGATTTAACGCTAGACATCGACTGCAACGACGTCGACGACCTCGTGCAGCTCCCCGAGACGGCGGCGCAGCCCCACGCCTCCAGCTCATGGCTCTGCCCCTAGGAGGAGGAGGAGGAGGAGGAGGAGGAGGAGGAGGAGGCGGAGGAGAAGGCGGAGGAGGAGGAGCGAGGAGGAGGAGGAGGCGGAGGAGGCGGAGGACGGAGGAGGCGGAGGAGGAGAGCGCGCTGCCCGGCCCCGACTGCCTCGGCACGAGCCCGCGTGGCCGAGCCCCGACGCCCCCGCAGGGCAGGGCACGGCCCCGCACGGAGCACCCACGCCGCGAGCGCAGCGAGTGGAGCTGGCGCCGGGGCGCCAGCGTGTCGGGAGAGGCGTGGGCAACAGGCCGGTAGCCTGCGGGCCGAGGGCGGTGCCGCGTCCTGCGCTCTCTCTCGCGCCCTGCGGGCCGAGCCTCGCCGCCGCGGCGGCGCGCGATCGCGCACGGCGCGAGCGTGGCCAAGGAGCAGCAGGACGACGACGACGACGACGACGACGACGACGACGACGACGACGACGACGACGACCACGAGGACGGACGGACGGACGGACGGACGGACGGACGGACGGACGGACGGACGGACGGACAGACGGACGGACGAACGGACGGACGACGACGACGACGAGGACGAGGACGAGGACGAGGACGACGGGGAGGGCGGGGGAGACGAGGTCGGTGCCGCACGTGATCGCGAGAGCTGGCACAGATGTGGCCAGACGGAGGGCGGCGGCGGGCTCGCTCTCGCTCCCGCGGGCCGCCCGCCGACGCTCCACCGCTCTCCTGTCCGCGGGGCCCCGGGCCACGCTGTCGTCGTCGTCGTCGTCGCCGCCCGTCGTCGTCGTCGTCGTCGTCGTCGTCGTCGTCGTCGTCGTCGTCGTCGTCGTCGTCGTCGTCGTCGCCCCCTTTGCAAAAAAAATGTCGCGCTAGATGGAGTGTGCGCTACCTGCGAGGAGAACAGTGATCGTGTTGGGAGGAAGGGGTTAGGAGGATGAAGGGCATGGGCAACAGCATCCGGATGCAATGAAAGATACCATCCTCCCAACCCGATAACTGTCTTCCTGCGTGGGGCCAACGGGGTGTTGAAAGCAGGAGGAGAGCGGGGGCCATGATGCCTGAGAGACTGCACGGCCTCAGCCATGAAATTCCCCCCCCAAGTCCTCGCCCCACCTCATGGACGCCCCCCCCAAGAAAATGCACTTCCTTCAGAAGGAATTTAACTTCCGCCCCGGCTTCCGCAGGCCCTCCGCTGGCAGGGCCGCCCCCCGTTTCTGCTCCCGCCGCCCTTTCGCCGCCCTCCGCCGGGGAAAGGGGGGGCCCAGCTCCTTCGACCCTCGAAGGCGAGGCTTGGGTCGGGCATGTCCCCCTACAGGTGGATTTCGGTAGAAAAGTGTTGAATAGTCAAACGAATGCTCAAAAATAGCCAAAATAGTCCACCAATCATCGCCTGATGATTGTTTGGCTATCTTCGAACACTCCTCCTGTAGTGGGACGCGCCCGACTTCAGGCGAGGCTGGCAGGGCTTCAGTTTGGAAGCCCGAAATGGGTACGGAAAGAATGGGTACAATGCCCAACAACAAATGTTGTCCCAAACCAACAGCGGCCGCTGTTGGGCAGGCGGCCTTCTGTCTCGAATGGACACAGGCCGCGGCGACACCGGCAGCGAGCCCTGTTCGAAAGGAACAGGAACTGCTGTTGGGCACCGTACCCATTCTTTCCGTGCCCATCTCGCTCGTGCAGATTCGCGCTGCGCGCAGACCCCTCAGGCAGTCCCGGCTGGCCTCCACAGGCCCCCCGACGGGGCGGTCTCCACAGGCCCCCCGACGGGGCGGTCTCCACAGGCCCCCCGACGGGGCGGTCCCGACAGGCACAGCG